GCCAACTCTTGGGCTACTCTTTTACCAACGAATAGTGAGACTGACCGTCACGTTATAACGTCCTAATGGCTGAAAGGGCGAGCATGTTTGGTGTGACGGGGATTCGAACCTGCGATCCGCAGATTGCGAGCCGAGCGTCCTTACCACCTGGCCATGCCGGGCCTGTAGTAAAAGAAAAAAAGCATCCTCCACATCACATAAAATTATTATTTATATTCCTGTCGTCAAATAGTTCATTAGTTTTTTTTTTTTGGTGTTTTTTTATATATCCAAAGTTACACAAGTACCTGAGGTGTCTTGTACCAGTACAAACAGTTGTCAGTTTTGAGGACAAACCACCGTCTACACCACCGCCTGGTGTCGCCATCTATACTCAGTCTTTGGAGAAAACCTGAAAGAAGAGCGTGCTGCGAAGGCTGTCGTTCATCGGGTGTTAACAAATGACAAGTGCGAGCTAACTCCAAGCATAAAGTATCGGAACCTGTAAAGAAAAGAAGGCTACAATTAATATTACAAATGTTACAATTAATATTATAAATGTTACAATTAATATTACAAATGTTACAATTAATATTATAAATGTTACAATTAATGTTACAATTAATATTATAAATGTTACAATTAATATTACAAATGTTACATTTAATATTAGAAATGTTACAATTAATATTACAAATGTTACAATTAATATTATAAATGTTACAATTAATATTACAAATGTTACAATTAATATTACTCCATCATGCCAGTTACACAAACAAAAATTATGTTTCAAAACAAGGAAATGTTTATTCGTTGTTGAGCTCAAATCTGCACAATGGGCTATCTCTGCTATCCCCACAGCAGGGTTCGAACATTGAATATTAGCGTTATAAGTCTTCGTGCAAACTGCTGAGCCACCGGGTGGAAGCTTGTACATGGAAGTGTTAATAAAGGTATTAACCAAACGTACAATGCTTGTAGTGACGTCCTATCATTATCATATCCGTCCCCCTGAAGATTTTGTGGAAGCATCGTATCATTATTATATCGGTCCCCCTAAAGGTTTGTAGCGGCATCGTGTCATTATTATATCCGTACACCTGAAGATTTTGTAGTGACGTCGTATCATTATCATATCCGTCCCCCTGAAGGTTTGTAGTGGCATCGTATCATTATTATATCCGTACACCTGTAGATTTTGTAGTGACGTCGTATCATTATCATATCCGTCCCCCTGAAGATTTTGTAGTGACGTCGTATCATTATTATATCCGCCCCCTGAAAGTTTGTAGTGGCATCGTATCATTATTATATCGGTTCCCCCTGAAGGTTTGTAGTGGCGTCGTATCATTATTATATCCGTATACCTGAAAATATTTTAGTGACGTCGTATCATTCTCATATCCGTCCCCCTGAAGATTTTGTGGTGACGTCCTATCATTATCATATCCGTCCCCCTGAAGATTTTGTAGTGGCATCCTATCATTATTATATCCGTCCCCCTAAAGGTTTGTAGTGGCATTGTATCATTATTATATCCGTACACCTGAAGATTTTGTAGTGACGTCGTATTATTATTATTATATCCGTCCCCCTGAAGGTTTGTAGTGGCATCGTATCATTATTATATCCGACCCCTTGAAGGTTTGTAGTGACATCATGTCATTATTATATCCGACTCCCTGAAGATTTTGTAGTGACGTCGTATCATTGTTATATCGGTCCCCCTGAAGGTTTGTAGTAACGTTGTATTATCATTATATCCGTCCCCCTGAAGGTTTGTAGTGACGTCGTATTATCATTATACCCGCCCCCTGTTATTATTATTTTTTAGTTATTTTATCCAAATTAATATTTCTACTATTTATGGTACCCCGGTGAAACAGCGGTAAACTTACGGACTTACAAAGCTAAAATCCAGGGTTCGATTTCCCGCGGTGGACACAGCAGATAGTCCAATGTCGCTTTAATCTCAAAAACAAACAAACAACTATTTACGAGAGATATAATAAATCGTGAATTTTTATCTTAATGTTCTAACCACGTATTTTTATTCTAAAACTAATAACAGTAATCCGACCTGCGGCTTTATGTTAATTTTAAAAAAATGTACACTTTCAATTGAGTTACGTCACCTGCATGCGCTGCTTTGACAACGTCAGAATGTGTGGCATCCAGAACTCGCATACCGTTGACGCTGATGATAATGTCACCAATCTCCAGCCCACACCTATCGGCTGGGGTGCCTGGAAGAGGTCAGAGGTTATGTTTAAAACAACTTATGGTAATTAGGACATCGGTAGTACGAAACTGATAAAACAGATGATGTGTCATAGAATACATAAAAAGAAAGAATTAAGACATTCACAGTCAAAAGAACCAGGCATTCATTGCGTAAAATTAGCCATTCCTTGCCTAAAAAGATAAAAGGTCAGGTAAATCTTTGTTATGGTATGAAACAAGTAATAAATCTAGTAATTCATTATCTTAAAATAAACGATCATTTGTATTTTACAATTCTAGGCGTAAGATCCCCCTCAGCTCGTACTGATTACATGTTACGTCATTCGTAGTCTGAAATGTATCAAAAATATGCTATACTGTGGTTTGTAATATTCTGTTACACGTGTCAAAAAACATCAGTTATCCTAGTATAAGTTATCTTTATAAAGATGTGTTTTTCACCTTCAATGAGATGAATTACAGAAAGCAACGTAAGCTGTTTACCGTAGAAATATTTTATTGAGTTACAGAAGTGAGCTCACGGTGAATAAACAACAGTCGTTTGTTTATTAGGCGCAATAAAGGTTCAATCCGAAAAGCTTTCCAGAGTTATGAAATGAATTACGAGAATTTCTTTTTAAAGGGTAAACACAAAACTCGTTGATTTTGTCAGGCAAACATCTTCAGCTCTCTAGCTTTTTATTTAGCTTCCATTCGAGTAGCAATGTAAACATGAGGGAATAACTTCGAGTTGGTCATTAAAATAATATATTTTGTTTGTTTTGGAACATACCTACATTGGACTGTCTGCTATGTCCTCCGCGGGGAGTCTTCCCCGAATTTTAGCGTTGTAAGTTCATAAACTTACCGCTGCCTCACCGGGGGGACAACATATTTTGATACAAAGCATTATTGTCAACTTAAACGTGTATCATTGGAATAATTCCCCATCTACTGCTCCCCCCAGTGGCATCATCAGTAATTGTTAAGACTTCTAATACTAAAAACTGGGATTCGACGACACAGAAAGCCCATTATGTGTAGCTTTGTGCTTTACAAGAAACAAACAAACAAGTCTTATCTACTGGCGGTATGTTCACACTTTCATCCATTAATTATTAATTTATCATTATCATTTATGACAATATAAATTATTAAAAAATCAACTAGAATACACGTTATATCACACTCGTCACGAGCTCTGGAGGATTGTGCCTCTGACAATATAAATTATTAAAAAAGCAACTTGGTCCGTGATAGATGACGTCCTCTGTTGGAGGTATGATTTGTTTAGTTTTCGGTTTATGTAACTATTTTATACTTTTTTGTTGTTGAAAATCTTGTAGGAAGCTGTTAAGCAATCCGTTTTGATTTGGTATTACACCACAGCCAGAAAATTGTTAGCCTTAAAATATTCCAGGAAAAAAGAAAAACATTTCTAAAAGACCAATTAATAGGCACAATCCTCCAGAGCTCGTGACGAGTGTGATCTAACGTGTATTCTAGTTGCTTTTTTAATAATTTATATTGTCAGAGGCACAATCCTCCACAGCTCGTGACGAGTGTGATCTAACGTGTATTCTAGTTGCTTTTTTAATAATTTATATTGTCAGAGGCACAATCCTCCACAGCTCGTGACGAGTGTGATCTAACGTGTATTCTAGTTGCTTTTTTAATAATTTATATTGT